CCCCTTATCTCCATTTTATGTTTTACTTTAATGTTTAAGAGTCTGTGGCTGAGGGAAAATTGAGAGGCATAGATAGGAGACATGTCAAAACCCTAGAGGGTAGAGGGTCAGAGAGAAGAGCCTGATAGCTAGTATGGTGCTTGCACACATATTCCCAACACTTGAGAGGCTGAGACAGGAGGATTGTGAGTTCAAAGCCATCCTGGACTAAAAAAAAAAAAAAAAAAACAAGCTACATGGTATTAGAGAGAGAGAGTGAGAGAGAGAGAGAAAGAGAGAGAGAGAAGGAGGGAGGGAGGGAGAGAGAGAATGGAAGAAGGAGGAGGAGGAGGAAGAGGAGGAAGAGGAGGAGGAAGAGGGAGAAATGAAGGAAAGAAAGCCCCCAAACCTCCTTTTTTATACCCCAAGGCACAACAAGCAGAAAATAAAAAAGTGCAGATTTAGGAGAGAGTTCCTAAGAGAAAAAAACCTGGAGGGAGTCACAGGTGAATTACCTCAGGAGTCTAAGAGATTGTGTCATGTTGGGGAAGTTCTGAGTACTTGAGCCTTGTCCCTCTGATGAGACTGAAAAGCCAGTCTCAGACTGTCTCCTGTGTGGGCTCTAACTTCAGCAGTGGCACCTCCCTAGCTATGTTGAGCCTCACAGGAAGTCTCAGAAATTCTTAATCAAAAGAAGGTCCCACAGGAATGTCACTGCACCCAGAGCTCTGTGGTTTGAAGGGGTTGTAAGGTGAACTATGTGCAAGGCAGGAGGCAGCTGCAGTAAAGACAGCACATGTCTTTCCCAGGACTGCAGTGGGAAGGTGGGTTCTTGGGCCCCTGGAGCTTACAGGTGACCATTGTCTGTGTGCAGTCCACAGAAGCGAAGGGTCTGGCGCCAGATGGGGTAGCTTCTAAACTGCGAGAACTTGAAAAGGTTTGCTTTATGGCTATAGCAGTTGACCCACTAAAGCTTAAGGGCCTGCTCTGTTGTGAGATCAAGGCTCTGAGGTCTCTGTTAGCATCAGAGAAGTTTTAGTTGTAAATCTATATATATCCAGGGGCAAAAGGGTAGAGGCCAAAGCCTAAACAGGAAAGCCATTGTGAAGAACAGTCACTCTCTGCCTTTGCTTCCTCTGGTGCATGTTCCCTATTTATTGAACTTGGGAGGAGAACAAAAAGAACCAGTGAGTGGACCAGTACTTCCAAGATGCTCTCCCAGTGAATGCACCACTTCAACCAGCATGAGCTGCTGTTATGCACTGGCCATCCTAGACTCTAGGACCCAGGCACGGACAGAACCAAATTCTGCCCACTAGACATTTCCTTCTCAGATAAGGTGACACTTGAGAATAGCCTGGAAGAGCTGGGTTTGGGTCACGGGGTGGAGTCCTTTGGATGGGTTTAGTTCCCTTATAAGAGACCAAGGAGCTCATTTCCATGCTTCAAGGATGTACTGTCTGCGAGCCAGACGAAGCCAACCAGATTCTTACTCTGCATCAGTCATGGTCCTAGCCTGCAGAAGATTTATGTTTAAAAGCTACCTCTGCTATGCTGTTTGGCTTTAGCAGCCCACAGACTAAATAGCTTTGATTTTTACTCTAAGATGGAGAGAAAGCTTTGAGTGTAAAAGGAAGACCCCAGCCACGATATGGAGTCAGGAAAAGACAGTCATTTCAAAGGAGGCACTTCCTGAAGGTTCTGGGTATGTTCTGAGACAGGGCTAGCAAGGTGTGACAGACTCCTGGATGGTGCACGGTGGTTTTGTCTAGACCCAATGCAAGAATGGAGCTGCTGTTCCAGAAAGGGGTGGCCCTGACTTTGTAATCCTTTTGGGAAGTAACTACAGAGAGTCAAGGGAGAAAAGGTTAGCTAAATCTTGATTCCTTCATTTCCTCTGTGATGGTTTCGTTTGCATTTTTGGTTGGGTTGGTTTTCTCAGACTTGGTTTTGGTTTTTTGAGACAGGGTTTCTCTGTGTAGCCCTGGCTGTCCTGGAACTCACTGTGTAGACCAGGCTGGCCTCGAACTCAGAAATCCTCCTGCCTCTGCCTCCCAAGTGCTGGGATTAAAGGCGTGCGCCACCACTGCCCGGCACTCAGACTTGTTTTTGAGAGAAGTATGATCACAGCATAAAATGTTTAGAGACATTTGCCAATTGATGTGGCCAGAGGTATAGGACCCTTTAGGTCCAAAAGAGCCTTTGGTAAGAAGTGTTTGTGGACACATCTCTTCTCACGTTCTGTGTTGAGTTCTTAGCTGTAGTCACTACAAATGCATACATTAAAAAAAAAAGTCTTTTCCCATTTCTTGGAGGCCAAGAGTCTAGAATTAAGGTCTAATGGGCCTGTGCTTCTCTTGAAGGGCTGCAAAAAGAATGCTCGGTTCATCCCTCCAGCTTTCTTCTAAACCAGCCACTCACGTCTCTACTTAGAGCACACATGCCATTCTCTTCCTCTTTGTGACTTGTCTTTACATCACCTTTCAAGGACATTAACTGGATTTAGAATCCATAATGGGATCAAGTCTGGAGACTTCTGTTCCTGATTAAGAGTGTGTTCAGGGGTAGCAGGGATTAGAACTTCAGGGCACATTTTGTGAGGTAGTTTACCTCCCAGCAGGTCTGGGTTGGATATCATTTGGACTTAGTGATACTTGATGCTGAGACAGGAACTACTGAAATACTTAGAAAAGCTCCATTATTGAACTACTTATTTATTTTTAAAGAATTGTCCACTAAGTTTATTTAAAGATTTAATGGGCTGGGTTTGATGTCACATACCTGTAATCTCAGCACTTGCAAGACTTGAGGCAGGAGGATTGCTACAAGTTTAGAGCCAGCCTAGGCTACATATGGAGTACCAAGGACAGCTCAGGTTACATAGGAAAATCTCGTCTCTAAAAAGAAAAGCCAACCAGACAATGAGACTTAAAGAAAGATAAGTTTGCCGGGCAGTGGTGGCACATGCCTTTAATCCCAGCACTTGGGAGGCAGAGGCAGGCAGATTTCTGAGTTCGAGGCCAGCCTGGTCTACAGAGTGAGTTCCAGGATAGCCAGGGCTACACAGAGAAACCCTGTCTCGAAAAACCAAAAAAAAAAAAAAAAGTTTTACATATTGTGTGCATATATGTATATATACTATATGTGTTCCTGGTGTCCAAGGATATCAAAAGAAGGTATTGGATCCCCTGGAACTAGAGGTATGGATGGTACTGAGTTACAGTGTGGGTGCTAGGAACCTGAACCTGGGTCCTCTGCAAAGAGCAACCAGTGCTCATAACTGCTGAGCCAGCTCTCCAGCCTCCATTCTGCTTTTTTTTTTTTTTTTTAAACTTGAAGACTTTGGGTTACACTAGTATAAAATTCATTAGAGAGTGAAGGACGGCATGCTATGGGCATCGTATTGATGCTGAGGAGTATAACCTGCACTTGTTTGGAAACCCGGGCAGGATGAAGTGGCCCTCGCTGATGTTCTAAGTTTATGGCTTTGCCATCTATGACAGCAGTTTGTCAGACCAAAAGCAACAGACCCAGGTCCCTGAGCACTAGCTATGGCTGGGAGAGTCCTGCTTCCTCCACCAGCTCTGTCAGCACTTCTCATGAGGCTGGGTCCAAGGTGCCCAGGTGGCATGTGGCAGTATGACTGTATCCTGTGTGGGCACATTCTTTAGTGATGAGCCAGCAGTTATCAGTATGTGCCTCTTAAGCTCACAAGTAAACTCTACGGGCTGTTTATTAAAGGAAGTTCAATCCCCACTCAATCACAGTGATAGGCCATATCAGTGCTAGCAGTGTACTTAAGCAAAATTCCATAGCAACAGTACACAGTTTGGGCCGATGAATTGTCACAGTCCTGATGGCTGTTACAGTGCTCCTGGTGTTGTAAGGAAGTGGGTGCAAGTTGGCAGATGAGAGATGAGTCAGGGTCTGGGCTTTTCCTGCCCAAGAGGAAATTTAATTGGGAGGTCAGGTTAGAGACGGGCTCACACAAGAGCTGGTACAGATTTGTGTCTTGCTTCTGCAGAGTGAGCCTTGAAATGCATAGTTTGATTGCTCTCTGGCCATAGTGGGAGGAGCTTAAGGGAGAGACTTATAGACTAAACATTAGTGCTTTGGTGCAAATGACCACCTTATAGATAACTGCATGTCCCAAGCAAGCAGGTCTGGAAGATCTGTCGAGCAGGTTGTGATGCCTCTAGAAGCAAAGTGACGTGTGGCCCAGCCCTCCACTGTAGACTTTCCCTGGGTCATATATGGAGGGCACTGGTGGCACCTGGATCGGCTGTAGCAGCCCTAGTGCAGGTCCCTCAGTCATGTACCCTGGGAGTGGTTCCGAGTATTCTTTGAAGACGGGTACTATTGCTCTAATGGGCACTTTCCTGTCTGCTGAGAGGGAACACAGCCACAACTTTGTTCCCAGGGCAGGAGCCTGTGGTAAAGCCACCATGCTTTTGAGATGAGCACAGGACAAAAAATGTATATACATCATTTCCTTTGACTAATCTTTGTGGTCCCAGACCTGATGTGGCTTCTGAAAGTAGTTGTTTCTTTGTCAAAGTTGAGAGTTTTAATTTAGGACAGAAGATGAACTTCCACAAGCCTGCTTTACCCATGTGTCACTGTTCTGGATTGTGGCAGCAGCAGATTCATTAGAAAAGCAGATTGCACCCTGACTCATCTGCCTGAGTGAGATGGGCAGTTGACTGAGCTCACCGGACAGTGTGGTGTGTGCTGTCTGCTCTGTACACCAGAGGCTGTGGATGCCTGGCTCAGACCATGGAAAACTCTGAGAGGAGACAGACCATTGTGGGGCAGGAGCTTTGTCCTGGAATTTTCTGGCCTTCCTCTGGTGTAATGTCACGTACTTACTTTGGGGGAAAAGGTGCTATGGGCTGCCCTCTACAGGGCCTTTGTGCTCCCTATGCCTGTCTCTTATTTGGTAGCATGTCTGCTATCACCATCCAGGGAGGATACCAGAACCTGTGGCTGTAATCTCCTAACCCTTCTTTCTCATATTACAGCAGAAAAAGTCTTACCTGGAGCGGAGTGTTAAGGAAGCTGAGGACAACATCCGAGAGATGCTGATGGCTCGGAGGGCACAGTAGGAGCTGCTGGGAAACTTCCTCCCATCTGATCCCTCCCATCCTGTCAAAGCAGGATATGTGCAGGGTGCTGCCCCCCTCTGCTCAGCGGCCTCATCTCTCCATCACCCTGAGCCCCTGAGCTCTCAACAGAGGGAAGACTGGAGGGCAAGAGAAAGCTGTCCAAGCCTGTCACTAGGCATGTGGGTTAGACCAGGTTAGACCAATAAAAAGCTATGTCTTACTCTATGACATCCGCTTTTCTCCACCCGAGGAGAGAAGGGCAAGTGTCTTCCTCAGCTTGTGTCCTTTTCCCTCCCCTTTCTGTCCTCTGACAGGTGACTCGTGGGCCTCTCTGTAGAGCATAGGAGGAAGAAGGAAGACAAGTTGATAGGTGAGGTGAACAGAGCCACAGCTGGCTTCAGGGTTCCTTCCCTGTTTTCTCCCCAGAATTCCAAAACAGGGTTCAGTAGCAAGCAGCATCTCCGGCTCTGGCTCTGTCTGGCCATGGTGCCACGGTGGTCCTCCTCCTAGCTCCCCTGTACGTTCTCAGGACAGCTCGCTCACAGTACAGCTTTCAGGAATTTTATTGCAGGTCAGTTAAACACTACTGTTATTGAAAACTGATGTAAACTTAAGTATTTAGAACAAAAACTACTAGTAAACACTCAGAGCTCCTCCTTCCCTGTTGCCCTGCACTTGGCCACTGCATGAACTCCTGAGACAGTTGCTGAGTGCAGCCAGGGTGGTGGTATTTTGTGGTGGGCTTTAATTGGGAGCACTGGTTCAGTGTGTAAAGATACCGAATTGTTTCTGTTGAGCCATGTTCGACTTCTACTTTCTAAGCACCCCCCTTCCCTTGAACCCTGCCTTCCACTGCTGCTTTAGATGGACAGCAGTCAAGGCTGCCCAGTGCTCTTTAGCCGAGGAGACACTGACTTGTTTTTTGACAGCTTAGCGACACCTTGTGGCCGAATGTGAGAAGAACGGGTTGGTTAACTAGTTTAGGAGTGGGTAGGAGCAGGAAGAGCCTCTGCTCTGTTTACCCTGTGATTATGGACTCCTGGAGAGCAGCCCTGGGCAGTCCATGGTCACACAGAGGTCCTTTCCCAGGGCCTGGGCAAAGCGAGTCTGAGCTGTGTTGATAAATATGCCCGCCTGAGCCGTCTTTGACACTGGGACATGGACAGCACTTTTAGGAGGTAGCCAGAGCAGAAGAAAAGTTCTTTGTAGGTGTCACCAGTAACCTGCTCACATCTTACAAGCCTTGGTGGATGGAATATAACAGAATCTGGGAAATACAGAAGCACATCCCCAAGGTGGTTTAGGTTACCTGGAATAATTCAGACAGCCAGATTTTGAACAGATTTATTGAAACATAAAGGGTGTGAGCAGAGAGATTTAGTAGTGTGTTACATATTGCCATTACCTTGAGTGTATAATTTAAACATTATAAATATATATTTCATAACTAAGCCTTTGGCCAAAAAAGTAAATTATTTAGCACATGTGTTAAAGATCAGTAAGAAATGAGTTCTGAACATTAAAAAGATCAAGTCACTGGACTAAATAGCAGTAACCCTCACTAATCTAAAACTCTGTAGGACTGAAAGTAGAGGTGTCTGCGCAGAGCTAGCCACTTATAGCAATCAGAAGAGATGGGACCAGGCACACCTACTGGAGGTGGCACAGAGCGGCCAAGCAGAAGAGCTGGGCTCATCAGGTGATCAGGTGAGCATGTCCCAGAGGCAGCAGCAACAAAGAGCAGTCCAGCAGGCTGTGAGGCAGGTGGATGAGCCCAGGTCATCTCTTCTTTGGTCTTCCACCACATACACTGGAAAGAGAAGTAAGGGGAGAGTGAGAGGGTCCGGTATACACCTTAGGCCTGCAGTTGCCTCCCAGGACCAGAGAAGAGGGACAGCAGTGGCACTCGCTATGCAGCCTGTCTCTCTTGCACTTGCCAAAGATGTACAGAGGAAGGCGGCCTCTCTCATCACTCAAGAGGACAACCTTCCTCCTCCTGGGAATGAATACTAGGGATACTATAGAATGACCTAACTAGGGCAGTGGAGCTGGTGACCCTTAAACAGCTGATAAGCCAGGAAACACTGTCCCTGACACTGTATAGGTATGTGTGTGATGAAGGGGCACTTCTGCAGATTCAGCTAAACCAAGCAGAATTCAAATCTGTATTTTAAAGGAATGATCTGGAATAAAGAAAACAAAAACCCCCACCAAGCAGTGGTGGCACATGCCATTAATCCCAGCTCTCAGGAGGTAGAGGCAGGGGGATATCTGAGTTCCAGGAAAGCCAAAGCAACACAGAGACCAAACAACAACAATAGCCCACCTCCCCTTTCCCCCCCAAAACAAAAACAAATACTTGAGTGATACTTAGTTGCAAATTATACTGTAAAGCCCCTTCGGCAGGGAGTGCAGACTGCTGGAGGCCTTCAGAATGGAACTGCAAGTCTGAGCCTACACTTGATGACACCTCAGTTTCTCTTCTCCTAGAAGCCAGTTCTATGGTGGGTAGGAGTTGGGAGCTACTTCTTTAAGCTTAGAACCCTCATCAAATCCATACCTTCAAACTAACACAACACAGGAATTTGTGAATTTTATGAATCAGACCAGTTCTGCAGTGGGCCTTCAGCTCTAGTCGTGTGTTTTCTATTTTCACTCCTTTGCAACTCTGGGGCTGGTGTAGGAGAGTACCCTGGCTTATTAGGGATCTGCCACAGGTTTAACCCTAGACCACTCAATCTCCAGCTTCAGCCATCGGGGAAGTTGCTCATCATGCCAAGACTTAGTGAAGAGCCCACCACATAGTGTTATCCAGCCCTCAGCCTTCCTGAAGGACAGGCACTGGGCACAGTCCTGCCTCCCCTTGAGACCTTCTCCCCAGCCCAGAGCACAGGGCCTTCCCTCCTGTGAGAACCAGTGGACCTTGAGCTTGCTCAGCTGCATCAACATAAATACCAAGTCCTGCATCCTTCACTGCCTCTCCAGATCAGCCAAGGTCATTGCTGCCAGATCTCATTTCACCAATTCCTGAAAACCTGGGTACCTAGGGACTTCCAGCTCATCCCAGACTGCCGACGGAGGTTAAAAGATACCCAAGGCACCCATTTCCAGAAGACAGTCTTCCAAAGCTCTCTGACTCCCTCCCTGTCACAGATGCTAGGAGGATGGGGATGGGGACAAAGTGGGATCTGAAAGTCTCCTACCCGCCTCTTGCTTTCAAGTTAACCAAAGCAGCAGTAACTGACCCAGAAGCAAGTCGGAAGGAAGACCTTCCAGAGAGCTTCACAGCGTAAGGCTGTGGGCCTAGAAATGGTCAGTCTTCTAGAAACCCACCTGCTTATGGGAGAAAGGCCTTGAGTCTCCAGAGGGTGTCTTTACTGACTAGCAAAGCCTGGCCCCTGCCTCAGGATTCTCTATCCTCCCAGGAGCCTCACGGCTCTGTACTCTGTTACCACTGTCCCTGTCACCTCTATGAGGGAATCTGCCTTGAGAATTCCCACACCTTCCCACTATTACATCAGTCACGTATTCTGTGCTTAATGGGCATGTCCTGAAGCTGATCCGAGAGTGCCAGTTGGGCATACAGCAGGTGCTGTGGCAGAGTTGGCTCCAGCCAGGTGTTCTGCACCCAGGTCAGGTGGACTGTCCCAGTAACTGCCTTTTATAGCCAAAGCAGTGTGTGTGTACTGCTGACTACCTTACGTAAGCTGTGCTAGCGCTGTGAGATTGTGCCTCCACCCCCACCCTCTCCATTTTTCTACCTTTTTTTTTTTCAGAAGAAGGAAAAGGGTTGGGAGTCAAAAGCAATGGGTAGGTATGGGAACAGGCTGGGCCTGGCCTGGAAGTGGTTCTGGCATCTTAGAGCTTGTTCAGTTTGAGCTCCTCCTTGGAGATCAAGTGCCCCCCTGTGGCCAAACTTGAGACAAAGACTGGACTCTAGGTCCTGTGTACATAGGACTTTAAAAACTGGCTTCCAGCCGGGCGGTGGTGATGCACGCCTTTAATCCCAGCACTTGGGAGGCAGAGGCAGGCAGATTTCTGAGTTCGAGAGTTCGAGGTTCGAGGCTAGCCAGGTCTACAGAGTGAGTTCCAGGACAGCCAGGGCTACACAGAGAAACCCTGTCTCGAAAAAACAAAAACAAAAACAAACAAACAAACAAAAAACCTGGCTTCCATTCATTTCAATCAAGGAACTAACTTTATTCATTCACTAAGGTCACAGATTATTCTATTTAACCATTAGTAGGGGCCTCTGTATTGGTCCCAGGCAAGATGGTCTGTGAGGCTCTCTATTCCCAGTGATCAGGCTAGGGTGACATCAGATCTAGGCTCCTTTATTGCTTTGCCTCTTTTGTTGACCCAGCTGTCAGTCTTCTTGGCACCAGCCTGGTGTAGTCATCAGAAGGTCAACGTCCTAGAACTCTGCCACCTGGGTATAAATACAGGAGTTGGTGGTGGGGTAGGAGAGAGCACAAGGTAGGACCTAAAGGCCTACTGTAGGTCAGAGTGGCCCCAGAGGCCTTGGGAGCAGAGCAAGTTTGGAGGACTCAGGCAGGGCTGCTACCCACCTCTTGTCTTTATGCTAGAAGAAAGGTACAGAGGCCATGCCAGGAGGCATACAGTCTCCTGTGACCAAGTGCCTATCCACCAATCCCTGGGGTCTTTTCTCCAAGCCACCTGACATAACACACCAGAAGTCCCTTGGTTCCAGGATAGTCTACAGCCTCACAGGCTTCATTTACAAGGGCAGGGATGAGTCACCAGAATGTGAGCGAAGACTTCGGGTGATGTCAGCCTGACATCTGAAACCTTCACTTGCTCTACTCTGACCTTCTAAATGATTAATCAAAGGCTCTGGTATGCTGGTAGAGTCTACAAGTCCATGCTTGTAGGTAACATCTGAACAGTCTGGCCTGAGAGCACAGAGGAGGAGAGGCAGGCAGGCAGGCGGGCAGGCAGGCAGGCAGGCAGGCAGGCAGGCAGGCAGTCTGCACCACAGCTTTTCTACAAGGAGCAAGAACCTTCAAGAAGACTGCACCTTAAAGCAATATGTTCCAGCCCAGAGACAGGTTCCCTAGAGGGGTTTGTCCTCAACTGTCAGGAGCACACAGGCACAGTGCCCCATGAGGAGTGCCATGGAGTCTTGGTTGCCACCACCCCACATAAGGATCTAGACAGACAGATGACAGCTAACCAGCCTTCCTGAGATTACAGAAGATGCCAGAATG